CGCATTCGATTGACTATTAATGAAGGGGGGGGGGGCGAAAAACGTTATGAAACATCTCGATTAATCATAGTTTACGGTATAGTGTACGTATACGCTAGTATACGAAAAAATGATTCATGGACTATTTCTCGATTCAACCTTGGATTAATCGTTCGTACCGATGGATAAGATCTTGAGAATAACAATTTCAATGTTTTCGACAATTTCAATGGATCGATTTGAGGTATCGAGAGAAAAAAAAATCAAAAGCTTCTTCCATGAAATTCATTATCTCGTATAATTTAAATATGGCGATTATTAAAGTATTCATATTCATAAAATAAAATATTAATAGGTTGTCTTACCGTTATCATCGAGACCTCTCCTCGCGTCCTCGCCGACTCTGTCACCACGATTATCATTTGCAAGATCATCCTTTTCCTTGTTATCTTCCGAATCCGTAAGTACCGCGTCATCATCGTCGTCGGTCTTATTTTTCGGTTCCCATGTCATTTTATTTTCTTTCTTCAAACGTCTTCGTGCATTCGCAAACCATGTTGATACTTGTGTCAATGTCATTTTCGTAATAATAGCCAGCATTATTTTTTCTCCCTTAGTCGGGTAAGGATTTTTTTTGTGCTCATTCAGCCAGGCTTTCAAGGTCGCCGTCGATTCCCTCGTAGCGTTCTTTCGTCGTGCCGCAAGATCGTAACCCGCACCATATCTGTAAATATATTTTATCCTTCTTTTACGATCAGGAATGTAAGGTCGAAAAATATAAATAGTTATGATAATGTAGTGTACTATATAAATATGTGTACTCTACCACGCGTGCGTATATATATGTGTGTGTCTATGTGTGCGAATGTTATTTTTCCTTTAAGATGGAGAATATTAAGGGAAAAATATGTCAATAATAATAATGTAATAATATATACATTTGTTTATTCCTTGTCTTTTCTTTTTTTTTTTCTTTTATTTACGATTAAGAATATTATTGGAAGATCGAAAATAATAACAATAATAATAATAATAATACTAATAATAGAAATAATAATTTAATGCTACACGTATGCATACTTGTTTCCCAAAAGGAAAATATTATATTAAACGAGAAAATTGAGTTTAAAAAATAGAAATAATAATAATGACAATATTAAAATTATAATAAAGTAATAATATATATATATATATATATATAAAATTTTCTTTAGGATAAGAAATGAAAGAAACAAAATAATAATCATAAAAATAAAAATGATACATATCTTACAAATATCATAACGTAATAACGAACATATATGTATATATATATATATATATTTATATATATATATATATTTGTCCTATGGAATAGATAATATGAGAAATACGTATAAAAAGAAAAGATAATAAAAGTAAAAACAATCACGATTTTTCAATAATAATAATAAATTAAAAACAATGTATATATATATATATATATATATATATATATATATATATCAATAACTTTCTTTCTATTAATACAAAGAAAGAAAGAAAGAAAAGAAAAAAAAGAAATGAAAGAGAAAAAAAAAGCGTGCCCATACACATCCAATAGATGAAAGAGAAGGTTGCGGAAAAGTGGCGTAACTTTGGAGGGGTGCGAATTCCCCGCAGATTTTGACGGTGAAATTCCGTAGGCTTTTCCTAGACGCGTTAGCCTCTCCCCTCGGGCATCGCACGACTCGACGGACCCTTTTCAAGAAAGAAAGAGAGAGAGAGAGAGAAAGAGAGAGATAGGACATCCTATCGAGGGGTGGGAGGTTGGTGGAGTATAAGAGGAGGTTGTGGAGGTCGAGGCTGATACTCTGGTAAATATATACGGAGAATAAACCCCCAACGGTGGCGTGATTCCATCGAGCACCCTCGGCGCTCGCTCACGCGCTCGCCATAATGGCGATTCGATCGATCTCCTCCTCTTCCTTCACCTCTTCCCTCTTACTCTCACCCACCCACTCACTTACTCTCTCTCTCTCTCTCTCTCTCTCTCTCTCTCTCTCTCTCTCTCTCGAGTTCACTATCCAACCCCCATGAGGAAGCGACGCGAGTGTGTTACAGAGAGCTATATATATAGAAATATATATATATATATATATATATATATATATGTATGTATCGCAACCATTATATACTAAGGGCTAAAATACCTATCGACGATCTATCGTGCTCGTGAAACGAACGGCCGGTTGCATGTGTTATATGATAGTAGTGGTATTACGGTGAGAAACACGTCGGCAAAAACCCGAAAAACGATATTTTGGGTTCGTACCGTAACGAAGCTCTCGTAACGTAGAATGTATGTTGAAAAAAGGATAGGAAAAAAAAAAGAAAAAACAAAACAAAACAAAAAATAAATAAATAAAAGGAAACAATATAGAGAGAAGGAAAGGAGATGAGGAGTCCACGAAATTACGACTAAAAATTATACATCCATACCTACATATATACATACATACATATACATATATATATATATATATATATATATATATATATATATATATATATATATACATAATCTATATCCGTATCCATGTAGATGAATACATTTATATATACATTCATATGTACATACATATATAAGTACGTACGTATTGTATATATGTATACATATATATATATATATACGCATATACATTTACACGTGTATATCTATTAAGTGTATGGACTCGAATACCCATCCCCTCCTTCTTCTTCTCCTTCTTCTTCTTCTTCTTATCAACCTTCGAAATCTCTCCTCTGAAAACAGTTATGCTTTCCACGAAGACACTCTCCAAACTCTGCTTTACCAAAACGAAAGAGAGAGAGAGAGAGAGAGAGAGAGTGAGAGAGAGAAAGAGAGAGAGGATTCTTTTACGAGAGGCACGCTTTCTTATATTCAAATGGAGATGTTACTCTTCTCTTTCTACTACGAAAACTACTACTACCACCTTTTCTCTTCGCTACTCTTTATGATCCTTCTTCTTCCCAAACCTTCTTCTTCTCATTCCCTCACCCACCCCCTATCCCATCCTAACTCTCCACCCGCTCAGTTTCCCCACCTCTTATCGGACCCGATCCCCAACTGGGTCGACTGTAACAAATGTCCCGATGAGATCTTTCTTCTTCCCGTACTGTTCTCTCTCTCTCTCTCTCTCTCTCTCTCTCTCTCTCTCTCTTTCTCTCTCATGTCTTAAATCCAAAGCTAAACGTTTGATCATTGTATCGTCTTCCATGTACGTATATATATATATATGTATATATATATATATATATATATATATCGAAATAATATTTATTTATCGAAAATAAACCCAAACGAGAAATGAAGTGTTTCTTCGAAATTTTTATTATTTCGAATGAATCTTGAAAATTTGTCAATTTGATCGTCGCATCTAATCGATAGAAAATGATAAAGAGGATTGTTGGATTTAATTCAATGATGTCCTTTAATTCTTTTCTTTTTTAGTTTTTTTTCTCTCTTTTTTTTTTTTTTTTTTTTTAGAATTTCTTCAATCGTCCAAAAAAAAAAACGACGATTTCATTTGTAACGATATTGATATTGATGTCAGATCAATGTAATGTGATGTCGATCAGAGTTTCTCGAAATATGTGATTAGAAAAAAGTGAATTAACGAAAGTGAAATTTCATTGTTTTGTCGTTTCTTTTTCTTTTTCTTTTTTTTTTTTTTTTTTGATTCTACCTTTATCTGAATAAATGATCAGTATTTTTTTTTTTCTTTTTTTTTTTTTTTTTTTTTATAATAAAATATATCGATACGTGATATATAAACGATCAGTATTTCGACGATTAATGCAAAAAAGAAAAAGATCTATCAGTGTTATCAATTAAAATATTTGAAATTATTTATAAGAAAATATAATGTAATAGATAATAATTATAATTTTACAGATAAATGTAATATTGTATGATACAAATATAAATATAATAAAAGATGTAATATGGTATAAATATAATAAATATAATTCTATAGATTATTATATATTATATAATAAAATAAAAATATAATTAAATGATATATAATATAAATTTAGAAATCTTGATAAATTAATTATTAATTATATACAAAGCTATCGTTTATATTAAGTAGTTGTATTTTATTACAAAATATCTATCGAAGTATTCATCTATTATAATAATCAATCATTAATTATAGTGTTTAATAATTATTTATTTCACAAAATATATTGTAATTAATTAATAAAAAAAAATACTGACGAAATGAATGGAAAATTTTCTCTTCTTCTTTTTTCTTCTTTTTTGTTTTTTTCTTTTTGTTTTTTTTAAGAATCCTTTCAAGTCAATCAAAGAACGATATGTCATTTTTTTTTTAATCGATATTGATGATATCAAACAACGATATTCTCAAATTTATTTACGAAAGATTATCTCAAATTTGTGGTCGGCTTTTTTATTATCAGCCGTGATGCGATAATTGAAACAAAAAAAAAAAAAATAAAAAAAAAAAAAAAAGAAAAGAAAAATAAGAAAAGAAAATAAAGAAAGGGTCTGATTAAATCTCAATTGAAAAAACCTTTTTTATTTTATTTTATTTCATTTCTTCTTCTTATTTCTTCTTCTTTCTTTTTTTTTTTTTTCCATTAGAAACACTCTTTTTAGTCAATCGAAGAATGACGATTTTATTTCGATGGAAGATTGATAGGGAATGAATGTGAAAACTCTCGAGAAGAAATTGTTCGTAAGATTTCGAAAGCTGAAGTGTGCGTTTCACCCTCTATTAAACTCCCCAGGACAAGGGAAAGGCGGCCACCGATAGTAGTTCTACTTCCATGCCAATAAAATCTCCTACCCTCTCTCTCTCTCTCTCTTTTTTCTTCTTCAATTTTTTTTCTTCCTCTTCCTTCCCTTCCTCCATTTATCCAGACGATCGCTAGAGTTATATTTCCTCTTTTACTCTTCACCGATCTCGCTAGAAACATTGAAAGAAAAAGAATCCTAACGTATCTAATCGTTTTCTCTCTTTCTATCTTTCTCTTTTTCCTTCGATTGATCGATTTTTCTCTAGTCACTCTGTCCAACGAAAGGAAGAATAAAAGAAAGAATGAAAAAGAACAGGATCATTCGTCTCGACGATTTTCTCTCTACTTTCTGTTCTTTTCCCTGTTGGATGTTACGTTCTGTTCTTTTTTTTTCTTTTTTCTTTCTCTTTTTTCTTTTCTTCTTCCTTTTTCTTTTTTTTTTTTCCCTTGAAAATCGCGTCCACTGTTTGCACGAAGGGTGACAGAGATCTTGGAATAACAGAGGGTGGATAAGATAAAGATACAAACGTTTGGCTAAGGATACGAAAACCTTTCGCGTAGAATAATAAAACCACACCGACTTTCTGCCTTCGATCATCCTTCTTGTTTGAACGGCGAAGTGCGACGGAGTACGCACGAAATACATACGACGACGACTACTATGACGACCATGACGACCATGACGATCATGACGACCATGACGACCATGACGACCATGACGATCATGACGACCATGACGATCATGACGAACATGACGACTATGACGACTATGACGACGAAGCTTCGATATTTTGAAATTTAATCGGGATTTGGTCATACGCGAAACTGTTATATTTGATTTTATGTGGATGTTATTTGAAAATATTTATGAACTTCGTTCATAAAGAAAATTTCATCTATGTATGTAGTTATTATAGGGTATTTTCATTTATTTCGATT